ATTGGTTCAATTTATATGCCTCCCTTCTCCGGAGACTCAGGGCGGCTTACAATGCGTTAAGCAATAGCCTTCATACTTTTGTATATACCTGCTTAGTAGGGCTTCCCCCCCCCCCGCAGCGGTGTTCTTTTTTATACAAAGTCATCTTATTGCCTCCACAATCCGGGTCCTCATTTTACCTACCTCAAAAGGATGGAAGGCTGAGTCAACCTTGAGCCTGGTGAGATTCGAACTTACAGTAATTGCAGGCAGCTGGTGTTACTTAACAGTACTTTAATCTGCTGCGCCACCAAGGCTCCATAAAATAACAAAACCTAGCCAACTATTGTAAAGCCAATCCTAACCCAAGATAGCAATGAGTCAAAAACCAGTCAGGGAGGTGCCCAATTTTTACGTATTAGTTAAAATAATCCTATCAAGTTTCTCAGTTTATTCATGGTTTGGGGATTCATGAAGATGATTGTCTGCTTCCCTTTCCCCTTTTTTGGATCAGGGGACCTATTGCCCCTTTCTCAACAGGAAAGAATATTTCCAGTGAAGAACTAGATTGCAAGCGCCCTTCCTTTTCATTTATTAAGATTGTCAGCGCACCATTGACATTTCCTTATAAATCAGAGGTGGGAAACTATAGCCCCCTTTATGACTTGGGGACTTAAACTCCCAGAATTCCTGAGCCAACATAGCTGGCTCAGGAATCCTGAGAGCTGAACTCCACAGATCATAAAAGGTCAATAGTTCCCCACACCTGTTTTAAATAGAGACAGTACCAGAGAATGGCCATTATCTCTTCCTCGTTTTCATTAAAAATGACCTTAAAAATAGAAATTATACAATAATAAAGTGGGAAGGTGTCCGTAAAAATAAAATGGCCTTTTTCTGTCACTCGGTTGCCAGCATGTTTGAGATATAAATGAACTTATTCTGGCTGCCTGAACATTTCTCAAAGTCCACTTGCTTCCAAATGATTGGGAGTAGAAGAAACACACACACACACACCAATACACATAACCGCCCTTCAGATTGCCAAGATCAATGCAGGAATAGCCACTAGATCAGAGGTCTTCAAACTTGCAGGTGTTTAGAGTAAAGTTTCAGGCTAACATTAATGCATAACCCAGCAACCTGCTGTCTTCAGAGAGTATTGAAAATATTTCTTCTAGAAAACAAAACCAGTTTTGTTTCCTCTGTTCATCAGCTATGCATGTAGCTATTTAATAACCCCATTATTGTGTGTTAATTAAACTTAAATTGGTTCTTAAGTTCCACTTACAGTGGTTTAGTAGCTATATCATTTACATAATTTCAAATTACACAACCCATAAAGCACTCATTACAGTACTTTTCTACTATTGGGAACTTGCAGTAAAATACTCAAATCTTTAATTGGTAGGGGATGAAATTACACGGCTATTTTTAAGCAAGCTGTAATTTCAAGAGAAAAATTTTGCAACAACAAATTGGACATTTAGCTGATGCAATATCAATAGAGATTCTCAGCTCTATCTTGTTAACCACTTACATATCATCAACTGCAATTTTGCCTTTTCAAGTATTTTACTGCAAGTTCCCAATAGTAGAAAAGTACTGCCTTTTTGTGAGTAACTCATGAACCAATGACAATTTAGAGTTGGGTTTTTATTCATTTTTTGTTAGAGGTTTACAAAAAAAAACAGTTTACCTAATTTCTGGATGCACCAAAGCTCAGTCTATCTATCCTACCCATCCCTCTCTCCCTCCTTCCCTCCCTCTTTCCCTCATCCATCCATCCATCCATCCATCCATCCATCCATCCATCCTATTGATTTATATATATTTATATTTATATATGCACCAGAGTGTTGGGCAACTTATAAAGTTCCTGGCACCCCAAAAAGGACCCCACCCCACACAACAAACAACTTTACTGGGCTCCAATCTCCAATCTCATTCTACCCAACACCTATAAGAAAGACCAGGTCTTCAATGTTTTGCAGAAGATTAGGCATGGCTGGTCCTGCCAGATCTCAGCGGAAAGGGTGTTCCAAAAGGGGCAGGAGCCGCTACTGCCTACTTGTGCTAGATAACAACATTTAAGGGAAGGAACCTGGAGTATGTTCACCCTATCTGACCTGGCGGAGTGGACAGATACCCTAAGACAGTGTTTCCCAAACTTGGCTATTTTAAGATGCATGGACTTCAATTCCCAGAATTCCCCAACCAGTATGCCTGGTTGAGGAATTCTGGGAGTTGAAGTCCATACATCTTCAAAGGGTCAAGTTTGGGAAACATTGCCCTAAGAGAGAGGAGACCTTGCAAATAACAATTCTTGTGTCATTCATGTCTTTAAAAGCACCTTGAATTGCACCATGAAAGAAAGTGGAAGCCAGCACAGTTCACAAGGCAAAGGTAAAACATATGTGAATCATGGAGCACCCAAAACTGCTGCATTCTGGGCCAGCTGTAAATTTCTGGATGGTTTTTAAGGGCATGTCTGTGGAGATTCTCAGTCACCCATGCTTGTCTCAAAGATGCTTTTTCAAAAGGCAACTGGACTTCCTTTGTTTTTCCTTGAAATTGTTTTGCTTCTCATCCTAGAGGCTTCTTTAGTTCTGAATGAAGAACCGAAGAAGCTTCTTGGATGAGAAGGAAAACGACTTCAAGGAAAAACAAAGAAAGTCCAGTTGCCTTTTGAAAAAGCACTTTTTTAAAGGGCAGGTCAATCTAGAGCACATTAGATCTATGTATCTAGATGTATGGTTTGGAGAATTACCTTACATATTCTAGAGATTTTTTCTGGGATCTGTGTAGCTATGATTGTATTGTCCAAGGCTCTAAAATAAAATTAAAACTGGAATGCTAAAAGTAATGGCTTCAGATTCAGTTCCTCAAAGAACCAGGTGGGACTTCCAACTCCATAGCCAATGTTTTCTACCTGACAGTAATTCTTTCAAGAGGAAAAACAAGGAACAAGTGAGATAGAGGATTATACTAGCTATAAAAATAAACTTTAGATTTATTTTAGTCTAAATTTAATAGAATAAATGTTGCTCTATTTACACATGTTCTTCCAATCCATGAAAATAATTGTCAAGTATTGCAAAATGTGGATTTTTGAATACACAATATACATATTAAGCACACTCCAGAAAAAGGTTTGGGAAAATAAAATGTATTAAGCCAGGTCGATAAAATTATCCATTCCACTTGCATTATAAAGCCCATATTTTAGCAAGAAAGATTAGTTTGCCAATGGTACGACAAATAAAACAGTGTGCTTTGGGTGTGAGTGTGCGTTTGGGTGTGTACTCAAGATGTAAATGACAACTGAAATGGGCACAAGGTTCACTGTAATTGGCTTTTTCTAATACTGTGCTTGGAGAAAAAAAATCCATCACGGTATCAGCATGTTGCTTTAGAATACTCATTGCTTTCAATAATTAAATCTTATGCTTAATGGTTCCAAAAATAATCCTGTTGATGCAGAAGAAGAGATGCAATTCAACTTTTTAAATTGAATCATTAAAGCGTATTTTATCAGAGTGAATGCTGCTTTGTGACAAGTCAGATCCATGTTTCTGAAAAGATGTTTTGCAACAATAATCTGTCTATGAACTGTGTTGAAATGTAAATATCATTCATTTTTCTTGATAAATTTGGGGAAAAAAGACTTGGACATTATTTGAACAAAAGGTTAGATTCTTCTTCACAATCATAACAATAATCAAGTAAATTTATAGACTATAAAATAGGTTTTCATGGTTTTGAAATGCTTAATTTATATAAAGGTAAGATTTGCAATGGAACAACTCTATTTCTTTGATTTATCCATTTGCCGCATTCTAAACATGTTCATTTAGAAATAAATCTTCCAACACTTGATTTCTTTTTTCTTTTCTTTTTTTTTACTCCAGTTTTAGGGTGATTTCAGCTATATAAAATCATGTTAATAGTGACAGAAAGGTTGCTTTCAAATTATGTTAGTTACAACGAAACAGCATTTGTTTTTGTAATTTAGCTGAATTAATCAAACTTTCTTAGTTATTAGAAAACAAATCTCCGAGTGATGTTTTAATCTAGCAGAATGCCTTTCCCATTACTAACCTGGACTCTTACTAAATATCAGAGGAGGCCTTGCTATTTGTCTTCCCACCTATCAGCTATTACCTGAAAATTGGACTTCTCTCTGATGACACTCATTCTTTTCCTCCAATATCTAAGCAGTAGCTCTTCCTCCAATATCTGGGGGAAATGACGTTTCTCTCATTAGTGGGCTTATCTGGGCTTATGTGAGTATGAAAATGACTTACCTTTGAATTAGTTTTATTAAAAGTGTTTAATTGTTGGCTAAGTTAAGTATTTGTTTTCTATTTTAAATTGTTGCTTTAGGTTTTTTTTATTTTTAGATACTAATGCAGAAACAGCTTTATTTAAATTTTATCAAATTGATTTATTACATGCCATCAAATAAGGGTCAACTTTAGCAACCAGTTAAACAGCTATGGAAATAGAGATATAACAATAATTCATAGGCAATGCACATAGGCCATTCCCATTAATTGCATGCTCCTTCTTCCTGCAAGTGAAGAATGGTTGCAGGAACTGGGTATATCTAGTTTAATGAAAAGAAGGACTGGGGGAGACATGATAGCAGGGTTCCAATATCTCAGGGGTTGCCACAAAGAAGAGGGAGTCAAACTATTCTTCAAAGCATCTGAGGGTAGAACAAGAAGCAATGGGTGGAAACTAATCAAGGAGAGAAGCAACCTAGAACTAAGGAGAAATTTCCTGACAATTAGAACAATTAATAAGTGGAACAACTTGCCTGCAGAAGTTGTGAATGCTCCAACACTGGAAATTTTTAAGAAGATGTTGGATAACCATTTGTCTGAAGTGGTGTAGGGTTTTCTGCCTGGGCAGGGGGTTGGACTAGAAGACCTCCGAGGTTCCTTCCAACTCTTTTATTCTATTTCTAAGTGAGGTTTCTCTTGTTTTGTTTGGCTTGGTTTTGCTTTGTTTTACAGGTATAGGAATGGTGGTTCAGAGCTATCTTTTCAAATGATGGGCAAAGAAATAAAAGTATATATCACAGTGAAACCGTCAGACATGAGCAGGACACCTTTGCAGATTTGTTGCTGTCATATCTACTGCTTGTTTCTTTAAAACAAGAAAATGGTTTGAGAAAATCAATTGAACCCAAGCTGGAAATCTTTCTTTAATGCTACTATATGACACTAGAATTTTATTTTATCTGCAAGCAACCTATGAGTCTGTAAGAAGTCGGATGAACCAAGCGATCAACCAATGACAGCGTCGACCACCAGCCAACTAACTTGACCTCCAGCCAGGGTGACTTCATCACCAGATGACCCTCACATGACATGACCAGTCAGTCACAGAACCAACTGTCCATACAAGACCTACAGTATATAAGCAGAAGAGTACTGAAACAAGACACTTCAGCTGAAGTTCCACTGATCATGTTACCTAGCCTGGTGAAGAAACATTCGGAAACTAAGCAACAAGCTCGGAGAACAAACCACCACCAGCACCTGCCACCTGAGCTACAAATATTTTCTACCGTTTCTAACTAGAATTTTTATTGTTTTAAGATTTCTGATTGAGCAGACTCTAACTGAATCCAATTCCTTTTTGAAGAGATTCAAAGGAAATTTATTTTGGGGGTCAGGGGGAGAATTGAATCAAAGTTGTAAGGAATCTATTTTCAAAATCATCCTTTTAGAGCACAGGTGTCAAACTTGCCACATCACGTTGCTGTCACATGATGTTTTGCGATGTTTTCCCCATTTGAGGAGCTGGGGTGAGCATGGCCTGCACGTGACGCATCCGGCCCGCCAGCTGTCAGTTTCACACCGCTGTTTTAGAGGTTTTGTTTTTTAATGTTGCATTCCTACAACTATTTGGGCTGTTTTCTCCTGGTATGGTAGTTTCCAATTATGAAGAAAATGAAGAGATTTATTAAGCACTGTAAATGTTGGACCCACCATCAGGCGAAACAAGAAGCTTGCCTCAAGTGGGAGAGCTGGGAAATAATAGCAGTATATTGAAGACAGACGCATGTATGACACGGCTTGCCTTTTACTGCTTAGCTAAGAAAATTACAGATACTCCTTGACTTACAACCATAATTGAGCCCAAAATATATGATGTTAAGTGAGACATTTGTTAATGTCTTCTGCCCCATTTTATGACTTTTCTTGCCACAGTTGTTAAGTGAATCATTAGCATTATTAAGTTAGTAACTCCGTTGTTAAGTGAATCTGGCTTCCCCATTGACTTTGCTTTTCAGAAGGTCGCAAAAGGGGAGCACAGGACCCCAAGACACTGCAACCATCATAAATATGAATCAGTTGCCAAACATCCAAATTTTGATTGTGTGACCATGGGGATGCTGCAATGGTTGTAAGTATGAAAAATGGTCATAAGTCACTTTTTCCAGTGCCATTGTAAATTTGAAATGTCACTAAACAAACTGTTGTAAGTTGAGGACTATCTGTATGCTGCTTCATCACTGTTGTTTAAGTAATATTTTTACCAGTCTGGTCAGCTTCAATATGCTGTAGGTTGGGAAAGTCTGATTTTTAGCCATAGGTGACAAAATGGCTAGTTCTGTATAAAATGGAAATTCATGTGAGGTGTGGGGACTCAATGACATTTACAACGGTCTAGTTGCAGCACAGTATCAAACTATATAATTACAGCAACTTTATTATACTAGTATTGTATTAATCAGTCCCCACTTTATACTTAATTAATCTTTGTATAGTACAGTAATTCATTTAATTTTGTCTCTTCCTTTATTATTGCATTTTCCAATTCAGTCTGCAGTGCTACTATTCTGCACATCAATTTTTATTTTATTGTTTTATGTCCATATCCTGGGAAAACTTGTATATTTGCTTGCTTCTCACTGTTGTTCTGAATATCTGTCAGGGTAAATTTACTTACAGATTTAATTGATGAGCTGCTTAATCTTGGATAATCTTAGATAATTAATGACAGTGCTTTACAATGGAACATTTATAGAAAATTGAAAGCTTGCTCTATTGCTGTTTTGGTTCCAAGTCTATAAATTGTAAAACCAATGAACATTACAAGATCATCATCAACAGCAAAATGCTTTGTGGGCATATTTTTTTGAAATGTTGGATGAGCAAGAGAAAGACAGAAAGTGAGTTTATTATAGCCATAAACATAAATCCCTTCATTTCCAACAAGATACATGTTTAGGATTGAGCCTAGTCCATAGAGATTTCTTTCCAAAATATCTATTCTATAAGCATACATTAAGAAAACATCACAGTTCAGTTACAAGTGAATTCTTTGCAACTGAGAAAATAGTCCTATGACAGATGCACCAATATTCTGACTTTGTTTACAATTGGTTCTTGTAGCATTGGAACTCCCATATGGATGGGAGGGCCCCATTTGACTTAAATCATAAATGCCATTAATCCCACCCCAAGAGTGCTAACTGTACTGAAGGTGATTGGAGCATCTCATCGAATGAAATGAGCCATGATCTATAAAAGTGGATGCAATTATACATTAATTAGTCTTGACGATTCTTTGTTTTCACTACCAGATACATATTCTGAAAAATACATATCACAACCTTATATATGTTTAAGTACTTGCTCAATTCCTTTTTCTATATCTTTTTTTAATTGATATTTTCAGTTTTGAAGTACAAAAATACAAAAGCAAATAGGGAAAATAGGGGAGGGAAAGAGGAAGGGAGAAATGTAGAAAAGAGGGAAAAAAGAAAAAAAAAGGGTGTTGAATTCCGACTTCCTCTGGTGCAGTAGAATAAAACAGTAACATCAAACCTCAACTTTTTACTTTTACATAATAGTATAAACTAGCAATTTATGCAACAACAAATCTATCTAATCAGTAAAATCAATCCTACTTTCTATATTTCTAGGTTATCTCACATGTTGTAAACAAAATGGGCATATAAAGATTCTCCTGTTCCGATATCTTTCTTTGTTACTTATATGATTCCCAGTATTACTTAAGAGACACTTATATTCTGCTTAGTCAGTTTTCCTGCAAATGCATCCTAAGTTTCAAGCAGACAGATCAGATCCAGCTCTTCTATTGTGGTTTTTGAATGGGAGATTTAATTTAGGAACCTTCAGGTTGATACACAATCGGGATACCGTAACTACAGTACTGAAAAGCTGAGGCAAATATTTTTCCTTCTCCAGATTTTAGGAACAAGCGTTAGACTGATAAAATTGCCTATCGCACCAAGTAAGTTAAAGTGAGTTGAGTACAGCTTCAGATAGCTGTTTTTCTATAAATTTCCTGCTGTGCTAGTAGTAAATATTGGACACAGAGAAGTAACCATAGTATATCATCTTTGTAAGAATCAACATTTTTCCCACTGACATGATAGTAAAACCTGATTCTGGCAAGTCTAGATATATTTAGGCCATTTATCCTGGCCTAGCACCATTGAATCCATGGGATTAACCCGAACTTTAAAAGAATGGGAACTGAAGGTTTAATATTTACTACATTTAAATTCTCCATTTCCTTCAAGAAGCAGAGAAAAGCGTATCAGGGCTTCTACTACTCATTTAAGGATGGATTCCATGTTATCTTATCATATAGTAGGGAGAGAAGAACATCTATTTCTTCTCTGTCTATCCAAGCATCCCTGTCCCACAACTGATAAATCTGATATCCATCTTTTCAAAGGGCAATCAACAATTTGTTGTTACAATGGAAGAGAATATATGTAGCTCATGGTTGAAATATACTGGGTTCTCTCTGAGCTTGTTTGCTTGCTTGTAGATGTTTCATTACGCAACTAGGTAACATTATCAGTGAGAGTAAGTGTGGAGTTTCTATAACAAATGAAAAGATCAGAATACTAGGTAAGCAAGGATTAACACCAGGCAAATAAACAAGCAGAAAAAAATACCCTAATCAAGGAACTATTGTACCAAGGAGAAAACCACACACCCCCACCAACACTGGCAGGACAAGCCACTGTATATAAACAGGCAACATTCCCACACTCACTATCTGTGTTTTGGACACATTATAGACCTTATATGCAGAGCATGTTTTTAAATCACTTAATAGTTTTATTTTTATCAGAATTCATTGACACAATGGAGGCATGTTTAAACTGAATTGAAAGACAGCAGGAAGGAAAGAGAGAATCCAAGAAATAATGAAAACGATGGAAGAATCTCATAGTCTACCTGGGAGAAAAAGACTCAATGTCTTTCAGAGAATTTTATTCTTCAAAGGCAATATTATTTATTACAAAATGGAAGAAGTAGATTTTAAAAATGGATATACTTGTACCCTAAATTCAGATCTTAGCTCAGTAGATTTATAATTTAAGGTATACATACATACATATATACATACATACACACACATAACTTTTATAGAAAGCATTATTCTAGAAATTGTATCTAGTGATGCCTTGCAGTTTTGCAAGATGATATCCATTTCCTTCACCAGTCTGTGTCCTTTGTTTTATATCCAAACTATTCCCGACAGATACTAAATTCCCAAGAACAATCTTTGTGAAGAAGACCCTGTACTGAATAGATCTTCTTCTTCTTGTTGTGCCATATCCGTCATCGGACGTTGGCGATCATGTTGGCAATTCTATTTTTGTCAACAGCCGCTTGAAAAAGTGCTGCTGAGTTTTGTCCAAACCAGTCCCTTAGGTTTTGAAGTCATGATGTTCTTCTTCTGCCTGGACCTTGTTTGCCTTCAATATTTCCCTGGAGGATTAAGTGAAGGATGCTGTATTTTTCTGGGTGTCGCATCACATGTCCAAAATATTCTATCTTTCATTTTTTAATGGCTTTGATGATTTCCCTTTGCTTTCCCAGGCAGCTTATCTCCTCCTCATTTGTGATTTTGTTAACCCAGCTGAATAGATGGGCATGCAGAATCCATGTGCGATAATCCTAGATGATTTTAATGACTAAACATTCACTTTAATTCTCTGCTTCATTTTAGATATATTATGTCACCATTCCCATTCCACTGACAGAAATTGTGCTTTAGCTCCCCAATAAATGTCTGAAAATTCTCCATTATGAAGCTAGTTAAATATTGAATTCAATTCTTTAATACTGAATACTTTTAATAGAAGCAATTCAAACCTAACAAGTACTTCTAGTTATTACTACAATGTCAAAATTCCATAATTACCTATTTTAGGAAATGTTATACAATAACATTAATGGTGCATTTTGAACAATGCTTGTTCCAAAAAAATGTTAATCTTAACTAAAGATGCCAAAGTTGGGATTGGAGTCTCTTTGCTTTTGAATTACAAATATAAAAAATCACGAATGGTCTTGTTTAAAATCAGTAGAGATCATTGTGAGGTTAAAATTGAAAGGTTTTGTGCCCTGTTATGTTGGTTGCATTTTCTGTTGCCAAACTTCATTACACTAAGGCTATTGTTTTCAACACTAGTCCTGCTGCAGCAAATAACATATACACCTCAGTCTTCTTAGAAACAATCTCCCACTCTGAAAAATTATTATGCAACATGGGGCTAAGGAAGGATGCACATTTTGATTTTGCCAAGTCCATGTCATATACCAATGTATACATCCTTTGGCTTAACTCTGTATCAAAACAACAACATTCCAAAGATGAAAAGTAACTTACATTCACTTGCTAATATTAGATTTTCAAATGATACATGGATCTAATAGACTGACTTTGACAAATGGTTGTGAACTGAAATTAGATGTCAAGGAACTGAAAACCAATTGATTTTCTTTTCCTAACAGTTCTGCATCCCTGATTTAACATTTAATCTAACTAGAGTAGTCTGTGAGATGCCTCTGCTTTGACTCACCATGAAACTTTGCTTCAGAAAAGAGGTTTAATTCTCCTTGATCAGGCACTTCTTGTCTTGGAGTTCTATTAAATGGAAGGGATTTCTGTGTATGCATCTTTTATTATTATAGTCATGAAAATGCCAATAAAAGAAAAGAAGTACAGTATTATGAAACATGAAAACTCCAATATAATTCATTTACAAAGAGTGTTATAATGAAAAGAAAAGCTACTGTATTAAGATATTCATGGTTTGGGGATTATTGGACAAGAGTTTAGGATTTCAAAGTCTAGAAGAGCAGCAATTCTTTTGACAAGGGATTTTAACATAATAGTTGATGAAATCTGGAGGGATCTAGTGACTCTTATGCATTCATTAAAAGAAGCAGGACAGTTTAAGAACTGACAATAGATTTATTCTCAAGGCTGGACAAAGAACAAATTGTTATATTTCGACAATGCTGGAAATAGGTAATATATATTATTTCATATATATATATATATATATATATATAGAGAGAGAGAGAGAGAGAGAGAGAGAGAGAGAGAGAGAGAGAGAGAGAGAGAGAGAGAGAGAGAGATCTCATTTGATTAAGAATATTGATTATAATTGTAAGGTTGAGAAACACTAGCTTAGCCTTAGACCCACTAGCTTAGACCCATTAAGCAAGATAGCTCAGAATTAATTAAGATTGGTGAAGGATATTAAGAACAAACGGGGCTTCCTTAATATCAGAATAAAAATAAAATAAAAGAATCTGTATACTAAGTGTATAAAATACTGTGAGGTAACAAAAAAAAAAAGACAGGGCTAATAATTTTTTGGGTCTTAGTTCTCCAATAAATATGCATTCAAACTGGAAATTAATAAAGAGTGAATTAAGGGGAGGACTGAAGTTTGGATTTAATAGAAATATAGTCAGAAAACATTCATAGAGCATCTATACAATATATTCCAACAAAATGGATATCCACACAACTTTATCAAAAAGCCCTAACTACTCAACCCAATACAGCATAACCAACACAAACCCTAAAAATAATTACACTGCCATACATCAAGAATCTCTCAGAAACCACCAACCACATGGAATCAGCATACCACATAAGCCAACTAAAGGTGTTCAAAACATCCCAAGCAAACAACAACCCCAGAAGAAAAAACAGGAGTCATCTACAATAGTGGTCATCAACCAGTGATCTGCGGACCACTGATGGTCTGTGAGAAAATTTTGATGGTCCACAGAAAAATTATTTGCATTTTTTATATTGCAT